AAAAAAAAAAAAAAGGATAGGAGTTGTGACACTGCTCTTACCTTGTCCAGCATTGGTCTCCCCAAGGTAGTGATTCACTTCAGTGGTCCAGGCCCAGTATGAGTTCACTGTGGGTGTTGCTATGACAACAGGGTATTAGAATCAGAGGGCCTTCTTCCAGCCCTGAGCTGGGATGTGGAGAGCAACTGCAAAGTTGGGGATCCTTCTCTGGACATCTGTACTGAGCTTCCCAGAATTCCTGGCCATATCATTGACCACTAGTACAATGAGGTGAAGTACCCTAGTTTATTACTGTTGGTAATGAGAAGAAGGCTCAAAGAGGAGAGGCAACTTATTCAAAGCCCCACAGCAAGTGAGATTAAGAGCAGAATAGAAGTCTTCAGTTTTCTCTTTTCCCATGGGAATATTTTAACTTCTTTTTGCTTAAGAACTTTTCACAAAGAAGTGTATATATATTCACAGTCCACTTCTTTATAATCCTTAAATCCTTGCTATCTTTCTTTTATTTCCATTAAATTATTACCGTGTTCTCACTGAGGAACCCAGTAACTTCTTATTTGCCCATCTTTTGGCATAGGGCCTTTTCCCTTGGCTTCCATGACACCATTTCAGACCTCTATCAGTGCAAAAGTACCCTAGTAAAACTTACTTTTCAAAGGGAACTGCAAGGTTGTAGGTGCCTCAGTCTTGTTTTTGTGTAGTTTTGAAGAGTCTGCAAAGAAAAAGGAGTTCAGTCAAGGTTCCTGACACCCTTGAGTGAACAGTTGAATGATCTAGAAATATTGGGAAGTGAAGGCCAGTAAGGTATATACTTGGATCTGTCTCAGCACTTCTCTCATGATGGTGGAAAGTTGTGTGTTACCCGTTTACACTTAAAATCATTCTATGGAAGCATTATTAACCCAGGGTTCATAGACACACAAGAAATGTATATCTAGAGTCCATAGTGTCTTTCAACTTGGATGGCAAAAACATATTTTGTTTTTACTAACTTTCAACTAATCTTTTGCAGTTCATTCTTTGTGAAATATCACAAAGAAGGTGGCTTTGTGTGATACCAGTGGAAATGGTAGAGTAATGACCTCTGAATATTCACCTATTCACAAAAACAATAAAACAACAGGCAAATTTTTTATAATCAACTTCTTTTTAAGAATTTGAGAAATTAGCCAATGGTTTGCATAAACCCAGGGAGAATTTATGGAAGAAAAACAACCCAGTCTTTCTTTAAAAAAATATTTATTGTTGAAAGTATTACAAATGTCCCCATTTTTCCCCATTGATACCCTACCTCTTGTCCCTCTCACTCCAGACCTTCACCACACTATTGTCTATGTCCATGGGTTATGCATATATGTATATAAGTTCTTAGGTTAATATCTCCCCACACACCTACCCATCCCTGACTGCCCTTTGAGATTTGTTACATGCTTCTATGTCTCTGGATCTATTTTATTCATTGATTTATTTTGTTCATCAGATTCCACAAGTGAGTAAGATCATGTGATACTTTTCTTTCTCTGACTAGCTTACTTCACTTAGCACAGTACTCTCCAGTTCCCACCATGCTGTCTCATAAGGGAAGGGATTCTACATTTTTACAGTTTCATAGGATTCCATGGGGTAAATATCCAAGAAGATGCTTGATATGATTTCAGTCTTCTTGAACATGCAGAGACTTGTTTTGTGCCCTAACATGTGGTTTATCTTTGAGAATGTCCCATGTGCACTTGAGAAGAATGTATAATCTGCAGCTTTGGGGTGGAATGACAATTAAATCTATCTCAACTAGTGTGTCATTTAGGGTCACTGTTTCCTTGTTGATTTTTTGCCTGGAAGACCTATCCAGTGAAGTCAGTGGGGTGTTAAGGTCCCCTACTATGACTGTATTGCTGTTGATATCTCCTTTAAAGTTGTCCAGAAGCTTTTGTGGTGTTTTTTTTTCAGCCTTTGTGAGTCTTTTGTTCTGAGGTGGGTCTCTTGTAGACAGCATATGTTTGGGTCTTGTTTTCTTATCCATTTAGCTATCTTATGTCCTTTTATTGGAATGTTTAATCCATTTATACTTAAGGTTATTATTGATAGGTACTTATTTATTGCAATTTTAATTCTTTATGCCTATGTTTCTCATTCCCTCTAGTTCAACTTCCTGTTACAGCAGTTCCTTTAACATTTCTTACAATGCTTTTTTGATGTTGATAAGCTCCTTTAGCCTTTTTTTTTTTTTTTTTTGGTCTGGGAGGCTTTCTGTTTCATCATCTATTTTGAATGATAGCCTTGCTGGATAGAATAGTCTTGGTTTCAGATCTATGTTTTGCATTACCTTTAATACTTCATGCCATTCCCTTCTGGCCTGTAGAGTTTCTGATGAGAAATCAGCTGACAGCCTTATGGAAGCTCCTTTGTAGGTAACAGATTGCATTTCTCTAGCTGACTTTAAGATTCCTTGTGTTGAATTTTGGCATTTTAATTATGATGTGTCTGGGTGTGGGCCTTTTTGGGTTGTTTGTGCTTGGCACTCTGTGCCTCCTGAACTTGTGTGACTTTTTCCTTGACCAGTTAAGGAAGTTTTCTGCCATTATCTCTTCAAACAGGTTCTCTAACCCTTGCTTACTTTCTACATCGTCTGGCTTTCCTATGATGTGAATATTGTTACATTTCATGTTCTCCCAAAACTCCTTTAAACTGTCCTCCTGCTTTTTGTTTGTTGTTTTTTTGTTTTTGTTTTTGTTCTCTGATTGAGTGATTTTTCTACCCTGTCTTCTAATTTGCTGATCTGATACTCAGCTTCCTGTAATCTGCTGTTTATTCCTTCCAATGTCTTTTTTTCATTCTTCCAATGTCTTTTTTTATCATTCTTAATTTCTTTCTTAGTTTTCATTTTCTTCTCATGCTGTTGAACATCCTTACAATCATCATTCTGAACTATATATCTGTTAGATTGCTTATCTCCATCTCATTTAGCTCTTCTTCTGGAGAATTTTCTTGTTCTTTCACTTGGGTTTTTTTTTTTTTTTGGTCTCCCCATTTTGACTGCCTGTTTGGATTTGTTTCTATGTATTAGGTAGATTTGCTAGAACTCTCAGTCTTTTAGATGGTCTCTGTTGCAGGCCAATATCAGATGCTGTTTGTGACTGGCCTTGAATGCCCTGTTTGAAACTTTCTACACTCCACAGTTTGTGTTTCCTTCTGCTGGGGCTTGGTGTGTTTGGACAGGGCTAAGGTTTGCTTTTCTAAGCCCTGGGTCCAGAAGCAAATAAGGCTACCTGAGTCTTGTTAAGAACTTGCATGTTTCATTGTATTTTAACTTACCCTATCCTCATTTCCTCTCAACTATCCAGTACTAGCCTTGAAATTAAACCCAATCCTAGGTGCTGGAGTAAGCAGAACAAATTTAAATCCAAAACAACTGTTATTATTTGACTTGTGTTGCAATTTCCTGAAAGACCTGATTCAAAAGGCTTTACTTTATTGGTAATTCAGTGTTAAAATTTTCCCTAGGGAGGTGAAAAATTTGTCCCATAGCTGCTTAAGCAAAGAAGAATAGTTCACAGAAACAAGAACCTAACCAAAAAACTAAAAGGAAAAACTGAGGAATGAGATGTTCATATGGACTTTGAAAAGCTCTGACTCTTTTCTAGGAATATAGAAATGTACACACATGTATAGAGTTGTGTACATACCCAGGAAAGACATAAGAAGGTCATACATTTTTACCTCTGGCTAGCCTTGAGGATATAAAATGCAGGAAATGAAGGCTATGGGACAGTTGTAAACTTCCTAGGTGAGTATTTAAGACATTTTAACAAGCAACAGAGCCCTTAAGTGAAGACTTGGAGATTTATTAGTTTTAGATATTTAAGGAAATATCTATTCAATAATTAGCTGAGGGATTCCAAGATGATCATGGATTGAGTGGAAGCTACACTGGCACAGTTCCAGGACCAAACTGGAAACACAACTAAAATATAGAAAATCAACTGAATAATCAACTGTAACTGAAGACTAGCTGGAGAGCACCCTCATAACCAAGGAGGAAAAGTGGAGACTGCATAGAGAATGGTAGGAAGTGCAGAGGTGAGAAAAGGCTGGCTGGGAGCCCACAGGCAGCAGCAGAAGGTCTGGAGGGATATCCAAGTTGTGGGGGGATCTCCACTGAGAACTTTGTGGCCTAAACCTCAAGCTGGGCTTCCCAGCTCACAGGGCCCAAACTGAGAAAGGTTCTCACACAACATCTGGCTGTGAAAAGCAGCAGGGTTTCTGTCAGGGAGAGATGACTGGAAATGCAGACACTCTCTTAAAGAGCCAATGCACAAAGTTTTGTGTGCAGCCACTCACCTTGGGCTCTGGCAGAGGGAGGGCAGTTGGATTAGATCTGCATGAAGAGTGTCTGAATTTCTGGCTCCGAAGAATAGAGATCAGAGAGCAGCCATCTGGATTCCTGTGTTGTATTCCTCCATATGGCAGATATCTTTCTTAGGCAGACATTTATCGTCCAAACAGTTTTTGCCTGAGGGTGAAACAATTGGCCTGCCCTCCTGGGAAACCTCTTCCCCTACCCTGTAAAGTTTCTACAGCCTTAGGATCATTAAAAAACTTACTAACAGCCGCTGGGTGCTTTGATACTTCTGATTTTCTCTGGACCCAGGGCTTGGAAAAGCAAACTTTGGTGCACATAAATATACCCAGCCCCAGCAGAAGAAACAACAAGCTGTGGAGTGTGGCAGAAAGCTTCAAACAAGGTATTCAAATGATCTGAAACCAAGACTATTCTATCCAGCCAAGCTATCATTCAGAATAGATGGTGAAATAAAGAGCTTCTCAGATAAAAAATGGCTAAAAGAGCTTATCACCATCAAACTAGCATTGCAAGAAATGTTAAAGTGACTGCTGTAATGAGAAGTTGAAACAAAAAGAAAGAGAAACATAGGTAGTTATCTATTACCATTTTATTTCTTTATGCCTATCAATAATAACCTTAAATATACATAGATTAAACATTCCACTCAAAGGACATAGGATAGCTGAATGGATAAGAAAACAAGACCCAAATAGATGCTGTCTACAAGAGACCCCCCAAAAAACTTCTAGGGGACTTTAAAGGAGAGATCAACAGCAATACAGTCATAGTAGGGGACTTTAACACTCCAGTGACTTTACAGGATTGATCTTTAAGAAAAAAGTCAACAAGGAAACAGTGATTCTAAGTGACACCCTAGAACAGATGGATTAAAGTAACATTTACAGAACATTTCACCCCAAAGCTGCAGAATATTCATTCTCTCAACTGCACGTGGGACATTCTCAAAGATAGATCACATATTAGGACACAAAACAAGTATCTACAAGTTCAAAAAGATTGAAATCATATCAAGCAGCTTCTCAGACATTTACACCATAGAAGCCTATGTAGCTATAAAATGAAAGATTCTTTATCCTTTGAGAGAGCAGGGTGGGACATGGAGAGTATTATGGTAAGCAAAATAAGCTAGTCAGAGAAAGACAAGTATCATATGATCTTACTCACTTGTGGAATCTAATGAACAAAATAAATTGATGAACAAAATAGATCCAGAGACATAGAAGCATGGAACAGGCTGGTGAATCTCAGAGGGAAGTCAGGGGTGTGTCAGTATGTGGGGAAATATTAACTTAAGAACTTATATACATATATGCATAACCCATGGACACAGACAACAGTGTGGTGAAGGC